TTCCTCATGCACAAGCAACAGGTATTCATGTTTTACAAATGTGTGCTGATGTCACTGTAGGAGGAACTGGGCTTTATAAGAAACCAAGGACTGAGGCCTCTCTGATGGATTAGGATGATGGGAATAACTCATCACTGACAAGATTCAGCTGTAACCAGAAACTTTGTCAGAGTGTCCAGTGTCAAAACGTTAGTAGTTTGAGTCTATATATAAGCAACTGGAAAGTGACCAGGGACCAAGTTTACAGCTGAGCAAATGACTGAAATTATGAAGCCTGGACTTCTTTGGGTTTAGGACGATGTGTGATTCTTGTGACCGGCGTATCAGCCCCATTGTCCTTGAAGACAGAAAGGTTGAGTGAGCCCAGTGCCTAAGTCAGGTGCAGTGGAGAGAGGAGCAAAAAGAAACATACAAAATTTCTTGGAGAAAAAGGAAGCTTTTTGGTTTATTTAAACTTCTTAGAAAATTTTAGCCAAATTTTTATTTTCAAGATATCACATATAATCACACAACAAGACTCACTGCGGCTTTCGGTGTAGGTTCCTATTTGGTTCTGAGATTGGAAGAAAATGAAAAGCAAAGCTTCACTTGGATTAAAGTTTGACAAAAGTTGAAACTGTCTAACATTTCTGAAATATCACTAAGAAGACCTAGAATGCATAGAATATTCCCAAAACAAACGACACTTCAGGAGAAAAGATGGAGGAGAGTAAAAATGAAATCACTTGAAAATGAAAATGCCTCTTTCTCATAATGCCTCTTTCTCTTCTTTACTGTGTTTATTGATAGGTAGCTCTCACGAATAGGGCACAGGGTGTCACCTGAGACACGCTTAGAACTGGTTCACTGGGAGTCTCTCTCACTGCAGTAGAGATAACCTCAGTGATTGGGCATTTATTCATTTCTTCTTAATTTCTATTTTATTTTTTGATTCATGAAAACCTTAATGAGCAGTTTCTATGAATCTGAACAGATCATAATTAATACAAATCTACCAACTTTCAATTATGGATGACAACAAATATACTACAGTAAACATCCTACTGCCAAGCTTCAATATTTTCTTTACTTACATTGCTCAGAACTAGCGTTTCCCAGCAGTAACAACACGTATTCGTTTGTTTCTTATGAAGGCAACGTAAGTGTTTGGTGAGTTTTCTAATGTAAAATGATTTCCAGAATTGATCATGAGAGAGGTAGGCCCTGTGAGAACAAAGCCTGTCCTCTGCAAAGCCTGAAGGACTTGGCCTTTTCTGAAGCCTGGTTAATAATCCACCCGCCTGACATTCCAGTGGTTACTGTGAGCTACAGGCAGGTTCCCCTAGATATTTTGAGTTTCCAAACAAATATTCTTCATTCTGATAAGAAGAAAACATTAATCTTCTGCAATTTACCTTATCTTTTAGAATAGCTTGCAAACTAATAATGCAACAAGCTAATGAAGTAACTTTTTTTGTATTTTTATCTGTTGTTTATCAAGGGATATCGAAATATCAGTCTTATCAGTTACTATGCTCTATATATTTAATGAAATTGGAGATTATTTAAATACTGAATATTGTGACTCAGACTAAGTTATTATTGAAATAAGTATAATGCTTGATGACTTTGTTAATGAAAATTCAAAAATCTGCCAACTGCAGCCGGACACCTTCGCCTGGGGATCCGGTCCTCTTAGCCTGGGCCACCCAGAATGTAGCCTTGAGCCTAGGGGAAAGGAGGAGATGGTTCTGAATAGGAAACAGCTGTCTTAGATCACAAGTGTGTAGGCCAGGAAGCCAGAAAGAGTGTAAAAAGCAAAGCAGCAGATCAGAAACATTATTGTGTTTGAGATGATTGTGGTGCTGGGTGCACCAACACTCAGGGCTTCAGAGGGATCTCCAACTGCAGAGTGAAAAATTCCTCAGGTGCTCTCTGAATTATCAGAAGGAGAGCAAAGATCATCAGGGTGAAGTATGGTATTTTACATTCTTCGTTTTATTAATTCAGCACATCTTGTTTGAATGTTCACTAGATCACATACTTTAAGAATATTAAGTCTTACAAACTTGTGACAAGTAGCTGTTCTTATATCTACATCCTAGATGACAGAACAGCACAGAAAGGCTGAGTAAATCATCCAAAGTCACACAGCTAATAAGTATGAGAAAGGGATGATAAATTCTGCAGTGTCCAATTCACCCGGCCATTGCCTTCTATCAGTCTGCTGCAACCTGCAGGGGAGATACTGAATCACGTCTATTCTAGGTTCTTAAAGAGCCAATCATCTTCTGAGGGGTGGTTTGAAAAGCGAGCAATTGTTTGCATATCAAAAAGTGCTGTTATTGTTTTAAGCCATGCATGAATTTTTCTTCTTTTTTGATTTAATACCTAAACTGGTTACCTTAGGGAATGGAGAAACTAATTGGGTAGCGTTATACAAGGTTGAACACATCGATGACTGCTTAGGCTTCTCAGTTAGTTAAAATGCAACAAGGTTGAAATCTAATTGGCTCTAACCATTATTTAATTTATTTCACACTTGGCATTCCCCGGTAGAACTGCAAAAGGTAAAGTGTTGTTGTGTCTTCGTTTAGTTACTGGAGTTCTAGAAGGCCAAGAAGGTTCCAAAGTCATTCATGAATAGCACTGCAGGAAAGACTGCCTCTGCCCCCTCCCTCAATCCTGGGCATAAATTCCAAGAATTCCACTTTCCCATGGCTATATGGTATTTGGGCCCCAGGAGGTCTACCTCCCATGGTGGTGCTGATGGCTTCACTGATAGTCTACCAAGCTTACCTTGGTCTTGCCTCCTCTCACCCCCAGTGGTAACACTGCAGCCAATGCTTCCTCTCCCTGTATTTGATAAACCTGCTCTCCTCTTTCTTTTATGTCTGCCACCCCAAACCCTATTTTCCTTGAGAGTTGTGTTTGGCGTTTTCTCAAGGTCTAGGAAATGCTCCTCCGTGCCTGCAGTTCACACAGTACAAATGCCCAGACTCACCTAGGACAGCCCAGCCCCACACAGGGCTTCACTACATGGACATTAATGCAAGGGAAGTCTCCCCACAACTCCAAGTAAGAATCAGACACAGGCTTCCCACATCAGAGACAAATTTAGAGTGGACATTGGAAGCTGTGGGTCAGCAGCTGAGAATACCTAGTGAGTGTCTCAGTCAGTGTGCGGCACCAGATTTGCAAAATCACTGAAAAAATCGGCACAATAGTAATACTAATAGTTCAGTGTTGGAGAGCTCTAAATGGTACCCTGATGGGTACCATAGGAGTTGATTGCATTATAAAATTAGAGCAATATATAATAGCATTTATTAGGAATTTAAAAATTCATGTGTAATCCAATGATCCAGCAATGCCATGGACATTATTGTAAAAGAAGGAATGCACAGACTTGAACTTGAGTAATGCAGAGCTATAAAAATGAAGTATAAATTTCCTTTTGCATCCCTCCTACTCAACTTTCTCCTCCTGAAGAGGCTTTTCCCCTCAAGATGGTTGTTGTTCCACCATCCAATTTGACTTGAATTTATCTTCAGTCATCCAAGAGAATTCTTTAAGTGTAGATACACAACTTTTAAAATGAACATAATTGAGAGCACACTATATACTCTATTATACACTTTTAACAAATTAATACCTTTTGGAAACCCTGTAGTATAAACCTTAAACTTACAAGTTCTGAATGTACTCTGATTTCATTTGAATTCTTACACTATATTTCCTAGCCAGTTGACCTTGAAAACATTACTGAATCATTCTACATCTCTATTTCTTCACCCATAAAACGGGGACACTGATACCTTACAGAACTTACCTATTGATGAGTAATCAATAGGTAGTATATAAAAAACGTGGGCCTCAGCTTCAGGAACTAAAAAACATGTTTAATTATAATTATCATCAGTACATAACTCCAATTTTTAGTAGTTATATAACCTCCAATTAAATAAATGTACTTTAAAAATTGATCCTGAATTTACTGGTAACCATTTAAATTATTTCCTGTTTTTATGATTTTTAGTTTTGTTTTTGCTGTTTTGCTATTACAAACAATGCTGCCATACACATTCACACCTGGTTCACTGACATTTAAGAAATTCTTACAAGAAATATTTGGCGAGAATTCCCAAAAGTTAACTCCCTGGAGTTGAACTGTGCACTTTAACTCCTAATGTCTGTAGTGCACAGATATATGGGCTGGCCCTGGGGCTGCCCCGCAAGTGGGGCCTCAGTTTACATTTCCCAGAATGTAAGATTGCCTGTTTGTCCTCACGCTCACCAACAATCGTGCTACCAAGATCTTAAAAATATTTGTCACCCTAAAAGGTAAAAAAGCAATCTGTCGATTTTGTCTCCACGATTTTGAACATTGCGTTTAGTCTTTTTGCTCTACAGACATTTTTAGTATTTTCATAAAATCACTGCTTTCCTATTTCCTTTAATATCTTTCTTAGAAAAACCTTCCAGATTCCCCAAGAAAATTGTTTTATGCTTTCCTCAGGATTAATTTTGTTAAGTTACACTTTTCTAGAAAGTGTAACATTGGCTTTGTTTTCTAATTCGCTTTAACAGAGTTTTGCACATTACCCTATTAGGATTCTAATTTTTGTTGCTTTATCTGAGACCCCTCACCAATATGAATATTTAATATTTAAGTGTGCAGGTGTTCTTTCTTGCACCGTCATTACTTTTGGTGTAAATTAACTGACTTTGGTATGCTGTGCACCCTCTGTCGCTTTCTCATTCCTGGAGTCCAGTCCTGGAGCAGCTCCACGCCAGCCTTTCTGCAGGAATGCAGAGCCAGAGAGCTCAGGCTGTGTGTGAGGCCTTTCCCATTGCTAACTCTCAGCCGGGGTCTCTGAACCTTTCCAGTGTTCGCTCTCACTGGAGGGAAGAGCATGCTTCCGAGAGAATAATAACAAATGCGGTGCTTGGAGAATCGGCCCTGGCTTCAAACAGAAAGTCTTAATTGTGTTTTCTGTCTTTCCTTTTATTTTTTCCAGTCAGGCATGATACGAACAGAAGAGGCAGATTACTTCCTAAAGCCACTTCCTTCACACCTCTTGTGGAAACTCGGCAGCGCTGCCCAGGGCAGCTCCCCATCCCACATACTATATAAGAGATCCACAGAGCCCCATGCTCCTGGGGCCAGTGAGGTCCTGGTGACCTCCAGGACGTGGGAACTGGCGCATCAACCCCTGCACAGCAGTGACCTTCACCTGGGACTGCCACAAAAACAGCATTTCTGTGGAAGACGCAAGAAATGTATGTAAGGGCGAATCTTTGCGTGTATTTAGTGATTCTGACATTTATGTAAGCTGATGGAACCTTGTACATTTTCTTCAAAGCGTGTCTGCCACGAGGTGAAATCTATTGATCTGTCGTTGCTAAACTGAAGCAATGATTCCAGAGAGAGTCCCTTATCTGTAAGTTCAGCACGGGACGTCTCTCCATAGCAGATGGATGGATAATGGTAAATGATGTTTTTTAGGAACTCTTTCCTGGGCAGATTAAATGACACAGTGTGCAGAAGTGAAGAATCTACCAGACATCTTCAAAAGAACCCTGGCATCACTACTCAGTCCTTCTATATTTTTGAGGTTTCGATTTATTCAAGTCCACATAGTTTTCCTGCTGAGGCAATTCATTTATATGCATACTTATATACATTACCACATCAAAAGGGCAGACTCAGTGTGACATAATATACCTGCAATTTATCACCGAGGCTTTATCAAAGTCTTTTTTGTCATGATCATTTAGGAAATGACTTGTTATTTACATTTTATGTAGAAACCTCTCAGAAATTCAGGAATCGAAGTGGGGTACTTTGTGGGATGTGCCTCACTTCCTTGAGCTCTCTCCTCAAACATCACTGGGTGAACCTTCCCCAGGAGCCTCTGGACAGCCCCTGCTCCCCCCAGCCCATCGTTTCCTGCTTGGGTGGTTTCTATGACTGCTCTACCCAGCACCCTGAATAGAGGCAGACCTGTTGCAAGTACTTAGTGAATCTCATTGAATGAGTGAATGAACAAAAATCTCTTGGCACCTACAACAACAGAATTAGTGCTTGTTAAACCATCAGTGCCTTTGCATCCTCCAAACCCATTTCATCCTACCCCCAAAAGTCATATGCTGCATTCAGATGACTTGAAAACGTCACACCCAGATGAGCTTAGTGGGCTCAGGTGTAGGGGAGGTGAGAACGAAGGGAGGTGAGCAGGAGGCTGAGAGAGTTGGGAATCCTGAGGTTGGGTGAGTGTTTGAAAAGGGTGTGCATATCAGCAACAGCTGCCCGCGGCTGCCTTGACTGGCAGGTCAGGACCCAGATGCATGCTGGAGGCATCCACAAGGTCAGAGCCAGGACTCTGCTGCCAGGGCTCATGGTGTGGGTGTGGTCAGAGCAGGACACATTCCATATACCAAGGAGATAAAGTGGCCCACACACCTGGATCTCAGCAGGAGAGATAGCAGGGCCGTCTTAACTGCTTTGACAGACCACACACCAGGCTCTTCAGCAGATGCTGCAGTGGACCTTGAAAACATCAAGCAATGCAGACCATTGTGAGAGGACTGTGATCCTTTCATTCCTCTCTGAAGGTGGTCACCATCACTCAGGCTGGTGGCGCAGCTTAGGCACAGCTGTGTGTGCAAGGCGGTAGAGATGACCCTCAGTGGTGTCCACATCTGGGCATGTGTGCATAGGCATGTGAGAGTGTGTGTGTGTGTGTGTGTGTGTGTGGTGTATGTTGCCTTGAGAGACATTTCAGAATCGTAATAGTGGTGGTAAGTGAAAGGCAGTTATTTGAAAAAGGATACTAAACTCTATAATACAGTTTGTATTTGAAAAGTTTAAAAAAGTTCCCATGGTCTTCATAATAAAACTAGAGAAAGAAAGCTCAACAAAATGCCTCTTGTAGGTGGAGAACATTGGTGACTGATATCCTGCTGTTTAGTTTGCCACATATTTCTGTCCCCTCTGGGCTATGCTGGTGACGGTACTGCACTCCTGGGCCTCGAGTGGCCAGGGGCCATGTGACCAGCCCAGTCCCCGGAAAAGTGAGCAGAATCAACAGAATTGACAGCAGTTCTTCCCACTGGTGCGCGCATCTTCAGGGCCCTGTGTCACCTGTTCATGGACGCACCCCCAGGTCAGGTCCTCGTGTCACCTGTGCGTGAAGGCACTGTACCCCCAGGGCCCCATGTCACCAATGCACAGATGCACCCCCCGGGACACTGTGTCACCTACGCATGATGCACCTCAAGGCCTTGTGTCACCTGTGCATGGGCACATCGTCAGGGCCCTGTGCCATCTGTGCGTTGATATTTCCATGTTGTCCCTGAGGCGTGTGGACTTTCCCTTGAACTCAGAGCAGTCCTGCTCTTCTGTCTTGGTGGAATTCACACTTACAACGGTTCTTTCCTGTTAGAGTCTCCCGTTCCGAAAATGGGAGCCTTTTCTGTGTTCACTCAGGCATTTTTCGGTGGAAAAGGGCAAACAGAGGCAGGCTGATTTGCTGAAAACCAATAGTGAGGTTGGACCTCAGGCTGATTAGTGGACTGGCTGCCCTTCAGGTGATGGTGGGTGTGCAGCTGGGACCTGTGTGTTCTGGGGACAATGTTGCAAGCTCCATAGTGAGGGGCAGTCATTTGCTGAGGGGTTTTCAGAGCCAAGGCCCATGAGATCACCACCCCACGGAGTTTCTGACCCCTGCCCCCAATACTGAGGACCTGCAGCTGCTGGGTCCTGTGCTAACATGTTGTTTTCATCCTAAAGACATTTTTCCACCAGTGGTAATTAAGAACAAGAGCTCTAGGACCACACTGTCCAAATCTGATAGCCATTTCCAACGCTTTCGAAGGAAGGGGTGTGAGCAAGTCACGTTCCTCTCCTCTGCCTTCACGACCTCTTCCTTAGAACCCCGTGCTCAGGCTGGGGTCCAGACTGCACGAGTTACACAGAGACATCGCCTAGGGTGGGGCTCACACCTGTGGGCATTGCATAAACATTAATGGCAAATGATGAGTGCTCAATAAACATTAGCTGGTATCATTATTATTCTCCAAAAGCTTTATTTAGTTTTGGAAGTATGTTAGCAAAGGAAAATAAAATGTGTTGGATGCACTAGTCAAACAAAATAGCATCTGCTTACAGTATGCTCCTCGAATACAGTCTGCATAGATTTTGTGTGCACGCCACCTAAATATCTGGGCTTTTTGAAGTCCACTTTCACATGAAACAATTTTAACCACATTTTCTGAGGCACCCACTAAACCTAATTGTTTTCAATGTAGTGTTAACCTAACGATTATACATGCCAAAAATATTTTTAAAGGGATTACTTCAAGAGAAAAGTGTATGCTTTGTCTTCTAATCAAATTACATAAATATTTATGGTACTTTCTAGGAAATTAAGCTCTTCAGTGAAGTGGAGCTGCCTCAAGCATTTTATAATCCACTGGAAACAGTGTAGACAAGCTAGTTATGTGTCCAGACATTGAAATCAACTTTAAACATTGTCAAGTCATTAAAAGTCTTCAAGTAGGAAAACAGTGCAAGCCAGCCAGCTCGTGTTCTTGTAATTATTTGTTCCATTGCTTTGTCTTTGCAGAGGAATCTGTTCTACAAATCCCTATGCTCAAAGTTTTTGAACCCTTTTGCTACCAGATGCTAGGAGTCGGAGTCAAAGAGTGCCCTTTCTTGCTGTTTTAAATTAGGATGAAATTATATAAAGGGAAATACAGCCACGATTTCCATGACGCCTAGACTACATGAATTTTACTTAAATTTAGGGTGCTGCTTTAATACAAGCTTCTGCATCACAAGGTTGTAAAGGTTATGTGGTTTTTATCATAAGCGTTCATTTTTGAGACCAAATTTCTCTATGATGAGTTATGGCTCTGATTTTTTGTGTGACTTGTGCTTTCATTTGCCCTCCATATGTCCCTCCATAGACATGCCCCAGCCTCCCAAGGAGGACCTCTTCATCTTGCCAGATGAGTATAAGTCTTGCTTACGGCCTAAGCGCTCTCTTCTGAGGTCCCATAGAAATGAAGAACTGAACGTGGAGACCTTGGTGGTGGTCGACAAAAAGATGATGCAAAACCACGGCCATGAAAATATCACGACCTACGTGCTCACGATACTCAACATGGTAGGATCGTCCTTCCAGTTGAGGCCATCTGTGTCATTGCACTTCATGGGGTGTGTGTGTGTGTGTGTGTATGTGTATTGATGTTTCATATAAGAAACATGTGGATTTACTTGTTACCTGTGGATTGATGTTTCATATATGAGAAATATTTTACTGGTGATAACTCATTTAGTTTTCCATGCTCCAATGAAAAGAGCCATTTTCAGAACTTCATAGACTAATTCAGTAGGAAAAAATCATTTGACCCTCTCAATAAGCCTCTGTAAGCCTATGAGATGTTTTGGGCTTACTAGTGTCTATTTACTGGAAATCTCTAAGGGGATGCTGAGCCACGGTAGTGCAGTAAATCTGATTATCAGCATTAGAGGTGTGATTTTTAGATGGTTCTATAGAAATGCCCAACTTTTTAGAAATATTAATGTTCAAATGCTAAATATAAATTATTTTATCTATAAAAACAGGGGGAAAGTGCAACCTTTTAGAATATCATCTCAGGTTAAATGTGTTTGTGTCTCAAATTGTCAACTGTATTAATCACTGAAGAGTGATGAGAGGTATACTAAGCCTCATTTCATGTACATGAAATCTAAATAACAGAAGACAAAATCTTGGGTCACCAAAGTGTGTTTTTAAGAATAGTTTTAATGACAATATTTTAAAAGTATGTCTTTACATTCTTCTGCCTCAATAAACAGAGTACCCCTGAATGTGCCCATCTTTCCATGATGTCATGTGATTACTATGGCTAGTGTCATTTTTGGTAGACTGAACCACTCGATTTCTGGTCTCCCAGGAAGCCGAGCAGGCAGTGAAATAGAACCACCTTCCCACCACACGGGGTCGAAGCATTGCCCTGTTGTCCTCAGCAAACTGCTCTGATGTGTGGAAGTGTTTGCCACTCTTCTGTAGAGCTTTTCCAGTATTTCCACAGCTCAGTGCCAAATCACTTCAGGTTGCTTTCCATGGTAGTCGTGCTGTTCCTGCTCACCACCCCAAATGCCACTCTGGTCATTCATTTCCACTTCCATGATCTATCATCTCTAATGTTTATGTCTTTCTCTCATCATCTCATTACCACGATTTTTTCCTTCTCTTTCTTGTATCCTCTTGGAATCCCGTAAGTGCACGAGTTTCTCTTGCACTTGTGGAATTCCTTGCCAAAAGAGCTTGAGAAGTGATTGGTTTCTGTAGTCATCATGATTAGCTTAAAAATCCTCTTTATATTCTAAGAGGAACACTTATCAACCCACAGTCTTGTGATCCTTTCATAGGTGTTTAACAGTAAGAGGTGGACCCCACTCCCACCTGAAGCTTCGGCTTTTTACAGGGATATGACTAATATATCTGTCTGCTTAAAATACAAGAAAATTAACATTGCTCTGTCATTGAAGAACAAGAGCTTTGGATTCTAGGCCCACTAGTAAGTAGGGGGGGAAATGCCATTTATGGGGCTAACATGGATTTCCTGTCTTTTTCAGGTATCTGCTTTATTCAAAGATGGAACAATAGGAGGAAACATCAACATTGCAATTGTAGGTCTGATTCTTCTAGAGGATGAACAGGTAGTTTATTTGAAACTATCTACTCTTTCTACTCCCAGAAAAGTAAATGCAAAATAATGCGTTTTTCTTTAATATAATTGTTCTATGGCTTCTTCTCTCTCGAGGGCAACGAGTATTTAATATTTTGTGTTTTACTGCAAATGAGTGTCTTTTCAATTCTTTTAAACTTTTTTTGGAGTTTTTGTGGGGTTTTTTTGTGCAAAAGTGGTAAGAAATTATCCTTTAATTGGCCTGTAAGAAAATGGCATGTAAAAGCTGCCTTCAGCATATAGGTGGGACACACACTACGAATACATAGCACACAATATATCTTAGCCATCATGAGCTTTCAGGATGCCAGTGGCAATGAGCCCTTTCTGCTTTTTATTCGATTATCTTCCAGCTCTTAACCCTCACCATTTGCCACCATTTGCAGTCTGAGATTTTTATTTTTATTAAGATTTCTATGGACTCTCAAGTGCGTTTCCCTCACTGCATACTTTAAAAACCCAGATTACACTGGATCTTGGTAGCAGTGTGTTAAAGATCCTTTGCCTTCATTTGTGACCCCTGTAAATGCATAGAGGTGGTCCCTTCACAGTGAGGATGGACATGAACACCTCGCGGCATAAGTAATGGGGAGGCATTATAGGCACAAAAGGCTCTCACGTCCATTTTTCCCCAAGCTAATCATTGACTGGGTGAAGAAGAGTGGGTGCTAGACAGGAGCCAAGTGCCCAGCCTCAGCTCCACCCTTGCTGACATTTTCAGAGTCTCCTTTTAGCCACAGTTTTCTTATTTATAAAACAAAGAATTTTTTAGATGAAACCTGAGATCATTCATAAGATCTAAGATGCCTTCGATGTTAAAGTCCTGGGATGCTGCTCTTTTTCTGTGCAGGGTGGGGGCATGTGTGGACGGGCTATTTCTAGTCTGACTAGTCAGGGAAGATACGACCTCATTGTCTTTTGTGTGAGTGCGCAGTTGGGGAGGGGGCTGCTGAACATGCCGGGCTTCTCAGGTGACAGGTTAATTATTCCTTGTATTAAAACATTTTCGCCTTGGAATTCATCCAAGCTGCAAAGAATAAGTGAGGTTATCGTTTGATCGTACACCTGTGTTAACTTTAATTAATGCAGTTTTCCTGGAAATCACCTGCTAAAGAACGCAAGGCATGCCCCCATGTTTATGTGTAGCGTTTAACTTGGGTATATTTGACTTTCTGGAAAAACAAAATAAACATTTCAGCAGAAAACGTATTCAGTGACTGAGAGACAAAAATTTCAATACGACATTCTAACAGTGAAAGCTTTAAACAAGCCAGTGTCCTGAAGTTGAGGTAATTAAACCTGGTGTTGTCCAACCAGCCATAGGAAACTAGAGCATGCCGGTGAATAAGATTCAAAAAACTTGATGCAGCCTGGTCTGATGCATGTTCTTCTATGTCTCAAATTCTTCCGTTCCCAAGAGTTCCAATGTTCTACACCCTGTTACTTCATTGTTGTGTTATCCGAACTTGATAGAGACAGAGGAAGTTGAACATGGCTTGCAAAGTCTCCTTTTAGTTGCAGTTTATTTTCCAGAAATAAAGCTTTACCAACTGACCTACCTCCTCTCAGAAATATGCTGCCTTTGAAGAAAAGATATTTCATTGAACACTGTAATAAGAAATATTAAAAGACTTATTTATTGGAAATCCCACTTGCTTAATTTGGTTATGAGATAAACATATTGCTGTCTAGACGTGTTTTTGTATATGTATGTGCAAAGCCAGGTATAAATGATTCTGTGGCTTTACTTAATTTTGAAAAGTGTTTTTTAAAGATTTTTGAATACAAAACGTTCATGCGCAGAAGTAATCTTTCTTGGGTCATTGAACATGCATTCAGGATCGGCCAGATACATTTCAATTGTTTATGTATGGAACTAGAGAAATGTCCATAAATGTGTACACTGGATCTGTACAGGTTTTATAGAATACATAATATACATGCATTAACTTATATGCCATCCAGATCCAGCCATGTATTTGAAATCCAGGTCAATGATAATTTGCTGTGATGCCAATGCATTATAACATGTTTTCTCTCCATTATCATGGGGTCCTTGGTCCTTGTCTCTTGCACAGCCAGGGCTGGTGATAAGTCATCACGCAGACCACACCTTAAGTAGCTTCTGCCAGTGGCAGTCTGGATTGATGGGGAAAGATGGGACTCGTCATGACCACGCCATCTTACTGACTGGCCTGGATATATGTTCCTGGAAGAATGAACCCTGTGACACTTTGGGTGAGAACCTCCAGCAGAGTGTGAGGACCGTGTGTGGAATGTGCACCCCTGGCCGTGGCACAGAGTGTTGAGTATTTTTGCCCTTGTTCCTTGTTAATAAGCAGTAGCAGCTTCTTAGTGAAGGTGTAAAGACCCACTTCCCTGTACAAACTTTAGCCAAACATAGAAGTATGTTTGCATTCATCAAGAGTGATTATTGAACAAGTGAATGTCTCTCACAGATTTCAGAGTTCCTATCTCTTCTAACATAATAAATACATATTTTTTTCTGTTTCTTCTACTATTTGTGAGAATGGGATGGGTAAATCGAAGGCTTTCTCATTATCTGGTGGAAATAGTACATTGATGTGTATTTGTGGAGTTACTATGACCATATTTTATTTCCTGTTTTTTTCACTTCTCTGTGTCTCAATCTTAGCAGTGTTTTAGACATTTACAGGGCTGGGTGTGACTTAGAGGCAGCACTTTGGGATTTTTCCAGATGGTCTGTGTGAAACACTGCTACTGACCAGGACTCTGCTGAACATTTCTTCTAACTCTCCATTTCTTCCCAAGTTCTTAGGGAGGAAGGGGTTTTATTTATAAAAACTTTTAGATAAAACCCAATTTAACAGCAGTTAGTCTTATTGTGCAAAAACAAGTTAATGTGGTGTCCTGGCTGCTTGTCCTTAGACAGGTCTGCTTACCCCGTTGGCTCTTGACTGGCCTGCGAGAACTCAGGTTGTAGGATGGCTCCCACTGCCCTACCTCCAACCAGTGGCTCATTGTGCCTACGTTGTGTGTACAGTGTGGTTTCCTTCTGAGGGTCTAGAATTCTGGCACACTTCAGGCAGTGGGTGCCTATGTGACCAGCCCCCAGAGAAAACCCTGGACCCTGAGCTTCTAATGAGTGACCCTGGTGGACAACATTCACCGTCGCTGTCACTACTCGTTGCTGAGGAAGAGAGCACACCCTGTGTGACTCTGCGGGGAAAGGACCCCCAGATGTGTGTGCCTGTTTTCCTCCTGACTTCTGCCCATGTGTTTTCCCTTGGCTGATTTTTTCCTGTATTCTTTTGCAATATTAAATAATAACTGTGAGTGGGACAAATGCTCATTATGACAGATGTGTATCATTAAAGCCGGGGGTGGTCTTGGGGACCTCCCAGCACACCCGTTCTCTACAACACTTTTTCACTTGGTCTTTTGGGAACATAGATGTTTAGAATAAGGCAAAGACTTTCCTCCATCTGCAATAGATTCCCCTCTCTGTTTTGCCCCAGTTAGAGCCTGTACCAGGAACATTACATAGAACCATGAATTGTGTTGCACAATACAGAGAGTCCTTGGGCTCCCTGGAATGGAATCCCTTCCCCTCCATTATCAAATGCCCTTTATATGGTTATCTAAGTGCTTCCCATTACATATTTCCCCATATGAACACAAGAACTAAATTTCACTAAGGGGAAGAAAATAAATATACCATGCTTTATTTTATTACAACACTGCTCTGTATTCTTTTGATCTTTGTCCTTCATAGGATTTGCACCCATAAGTGGAATGTGTAGTAAATATCGCAGCTGCACGATTAATGAAGATACAGGTCTTGGACTGGCCTTCACCATTGCCCATGAGTCTGGACACAAGTAAGTGCATCTCCATGGGAGGATGACGTCCCATGTGTTTTCCTTACTGGATGATTTCCATAGAAATATTGACTTACCACATCAAGTCCATGAAGGGAATTCACATATATCCAACGAGAATGCCATTGACAGTTATAAAATGCTGTCACTTAGGATTTCTGTTTCTATGTGCCACATCATGCAAATTTTATTTTTATTTATTTACTTATTTTGAGACAGGTTCACTCTGTCAATCAGCCTGGAGTATAGTGGCATTACCTCAGCTCATTGCAATATCTGCTTCCTGGGCTCAAGCAATCCTCCCACCTCAACCTCCCAAGTAGATGGAACTACAGGCATGCACCACCATGCTTGGCTAATTTTTGTAATTTCTGGAGAGATGGGGTTTCACCGTGTTGCTTAGGCTATGCACATTTTAAAGCCACAGCAATGTACAAGTTTCCATGTCCCTGGGTCTTTCTCTGACACTCCTGTGTACACCTGTGCCTAAGATTGAGGATAGCTGTATCTGCCCCTATTCCTCTGTCCTGTGTTTTGAACTTGGTCTGGTGGGCTGATCTCATTCCGTGGTTAGCTGCTAAGAGGGGACTCTAAATGATGAAGAACAGTGTCAGCCCTCCCATTGCTTCCTGCTGTTACCCTCGTGTTTGTGTTCTTGTATGTATGTGTGTGTGTGTGTGTGTGTGTGTGTATTTACAATTTATAGAGATGCTATTTTTCATTGGTACTCCAAGCAGAGTTTGGAAGCATGGGTACTGACAAGAGATCGGGCAGGCCTCTAGGAACTGATTTGCCTCTGTTACTCCACCTCTGACTGCACCATTAATGGTTCTGAAATAAAAGTCTCAGGGAGCCCCATGAGCCTGGGGGCTCAACACAGAGGCCAGTCCTAGGTTGGTGGCCTCAGCAATGGGTGGTGGGTCATTAGTGTTTTCACCTTACATGAAATGCTTACAATTGTAGAGTGAACAATTTCTAGCAATTATTTGTGGAAACTATTATTCTTAATACAATTTCTGGGGCTAAAAATTCTGTGAGCTGCTTTACCTTGAAGTGCCGCCTATTAAATAAAAAATTCAAGGGCCCACTTGCTGCCCAAGCAGCTGGGGACTTCCTGCAATCACCCTGATTAATACCAGAACCACCAGCTGGAATGCAAATATTTTCCTGCTATGCTGAAACAATACTTGAAATTTCTCCTAGAAAAATTTACAGCCAGGAATTGTAAGTTTTTATTTTTTTTTAAATTTCAACCTGATTTTATTGGCAAAAGGAAAAGCAAGGCAAGTGTTTGTGATTTGTGGTTTTGCAAAGCTAACTTATCCATTATTGGAAAATGGACTGAGGCCTCAGACTTGTTCAAAGCAGTGTGTGTGTGTGTGTGTGTGTGTACGTGTATGTGTGCGTGTGTATACACATGCGCTTGTGTTTAATGCGAAGGTTCTGCACGCTTTGGCTGTGTGCAAACTGATGACCTGAAAAATGAAGCTTCATATCTTATTACTGATCCCTTCATCATTGCAGGTAATGATTGACTATTTCATTGCTTAGAAAATTACACCTTCACTTTATAAAGCTTTCAGCTGAATCATAGTTGTATTTTTAATAGTCTGCTAGAGTTAAAACTTCAAAAACCCTCATTATTGTAACAACATGAAGCTCTTGCTGTCCTCTGAACCATACCTGAATTTAATTAAACAATCAAGGCAAGAAATATTTAAGTCACTGAGGGCTGAGCCAGTGAACGTTCGATAAGCAGTTGAGATATGGGCATTGGCAGTGCCAGCCGTTGCAGGTGGTGAACTTAGCTAAGTTAAACTCGAGGCATCCAACACAAGGCCCTCAGTGGGTCTTCAGTGCCAAACAAGTATCAATGTTGGCATTTATTTTTCTTAGAAGTCAGTTATTACTATTTCCTTTCCTCACTCAAATTGGATGTAGTTGGAAAAATATTTTCTCCAAACAAGAAAAAAAATGTTTTTTCCTGGAAGGTCAGAATCTAGGTGTGAATAAAGAAAGAAGCTCAGTTGGGCACGGTGGCTCACACCTGTAAACCCAGCACTTCGGAAGGCCGAGGTGGGAGGATCACTTGAGCCCAGGAGTTCAAGACCAGTCTGGGCAACATAGTAAGACCCCATTTCTACAATAAATTTTAAAAATTAGCCAGGCATGGTAGTGTGCATCTGTGTAGTCCCAGCTACTTGGGAGGCTGAGGTGGGAGACTCTCCTGACCCCAGGAAGCTGAGGCTGCAGTCAGTTGAGATTGCACCACTCTACTCCAGCCCGGGTGACAGAATGAGACCCTTTATAAAAAATATAAAAATAAGCCCTACGTGTGGATGAAGGAGAGTCCCGTTGCTAATATAGGATTAACTGCCAGAAAGTATCACATCTTTCTTGAACACCTGACTTCTTCAAGTTCGCTAAAACAGAGAACCTGGAGCTTGTCAGCGAAAACCCTTCTGCCCATGTTGAGAAAATAGGAAATATATTGTAGTTATCATGTGCTAAATGCCAAAATGATTGGTAATAATAGTAACAGTAGTAATGGTCATGATAATAGTAATATCTGCTCTTTCTGGAGCACTTTTTGTAAAATTCGCCGAGCAATTTCACGTACAGCTCAAACCATGGAGACCACTGGGGACAGTCCCTCTGTTGCCCTCACTAACTTAGGGGAGACTGTGTGGAATATTCAGCAAATGTGTATGAATGGAGTAGGGGAATGAGTGATGCAGGGCACGAGCAAGCTACACGTGAGGAGTAAACGTTTCAAATGAGTTGTTAGCTGTGACCACCACTTCAAATGAGAAAGCTTGTGATGTGTAAGACTCAATGATAAAACTCCATGTATCTTAGTTGAACTGAGCTGAAGATAAACACATTTGTTCAGTTCATTTATTTAGTGAGTTTAATTTTTGAAAGAGGGAATGGTAAGTTTGATGCATGGAACAAACATCAGAGCATCAGCAGTCTGCTTTTATCAATGAGCTCCAAGCAGAGTCAAATTTTTGAGTTCTGTAATTCAAGAATTAAAAAGCAATTCTGTATTTATTATGACTTTTACTGTAAAAAACATGTAAAACATCCTGCTTCAAAGGTAAATTTTACTTTTTCAGTGCTGTTGACATTCAGAGGACATTATTTGGGATGGAGGAGTACTTCTGCATGCCTGCAAGCCATAGGTTTCTAATCTTTAACTCAAATAAAGATTTTAGTTAGTGTCCATCCAATCTGTCCTCCTAAATTCCATTTGATTTTTAATCTCAAAATGTCATGTAGTTTATTCTGGGGAATGTGACCTAAAAATAGAAATTACTAAGAACAGGTGTTTGGATTTGTGTTGGAAAGAGAGGAGCAGAGACTGGAACCAGAGCTGAGATATGTATTCTCCTGTAGTACAACAGATTGAATTGGTATTTGTATTAAGCTGGTGGTAAAAGGAGAGTTTCCTGGTTATGTTAAATCACTTGACACAGGACATGTGGTTTGCTAATGCTGGTGCTGAAGCACTGGCACAGATACACCAAGGGCTGAACTGCGCCTTTGGGAGAATATGTCATCTGTGCATGAATCCATCTGAAAAATTCCCATTTGCTAAGGGAAGTCATGTCATTTGATGGGTGGGGCTCTGGCATTCAGATTCTGGATCAGCACAGTGCTACCACAGTCCGGTAGTGACCAGGGAATGTCCCCTTAACAGCTCTCACCTACGTTTCCCATCTGCAAAATCAATAGAGCACTATTTGCTCCGTAGTTCATATATGCAAGTGTAATTTAGGTTGCATTGTTTGAGCTGTACATTCCACTTATATAAAATAGGCTTAAATAGCTAAGTTGCATTATCATTTGAGACCATTAAGGCTCTATTAAAACAAATGTGTTAACTGTGTTCAAAAGTATTCATTATTCAACAGTCTGTCTCTTGCATTTTCCCTAGTTTATGGGCACAGTTTGCATTCTGAGAGCAAGGCATTGTGTAGGAGTCTATAAAAAGACTTGTGATCTATGCCCTTTGAAAGTTTAAGAGAAAAGATTAAATAGATATGCCACGCAAGAGATCAAGTAATGAGAGCTGTTGGTATTACAAGAGACCACACAGGGACGATCAGGGAGGCCTTCTTAACAGAAGCAGCATTGGGCTGGGCATGGTGGCTCACTCCTGTGAATCCCAGCACTTTGGGAGGCCAAGGTGGGTGGATCATGATGTCAGGAGTTCAAGACCAGCCTGGCCAAGATGGTGAAACCCCATCTCCACTAAAAAATACAAAAATTAGCCAGGTGTGGTGGCAGGTGCCTGTAATCCCAGCTACTTGGGAGACTGAGGCAGAGAATTGCTTGAACTCGGGAGGTAGAAGTTGCAGTGAGCCGAGATCATGCCACCACACTCTAGCCTGGGTGACAGAGACAGACCCCATTTCAAAAACAAAACAAAAAAAGCAGCATTGGTGTCACTATTGGTGTCACTACTAGTTAACCTGAAAATACCATTCAGCTCACCCACAGTCACTAGCGATGCCCTTTTCAGTATTTGATGATGACAAGTGCCTCTACCCCGTTTGTGGCTGTGCTCTGTCATCAGTCTGGGGCATCTTTCAGTGCACCTGGGAGGCACATGGTGGTTTTTAAAGACTTGAAGAATATTGGAGAAAGCCAGCCCCTCTAACCATCATCTGGACTGAGAATTGTTAGGCTGCTCTCTGGGGAGCTGTGGTAGGTCAGAGCATCAGTTCTTACCATTTACATTGGTTGTCTTTCCTCTTAGGATTTCGTTTTTGTTTCTGTGTCCAACAAGTATTTGAACTCCGTTGACATTTGGCCAGACCTTTCCATACACGTGCGTGCACACACGCATGCCCACCATGAATGACACTTAGGTGTTATGTGACTTGACCAAGACCCCATTTGGATCATAGAAGGGAATAGAAGTTTTGAATTTTCCTTGTGATGTGCACAGTCCCAGGCATTCTGTACAGTTCATTAGGAAGGTTTTACTATCC